TCACCCCGGCGAGCTGTGTGCCGTCTCCATCTCCTTCCTGTCCTGACAATGGTCTCCATAGCAGTTCAGTGAGGCTGTCCGGGCAGGGAGGACGTGTTGATGCTCAGCCCCATGGTAACATTCCTCCGGCAGCTTTATAAAAGCTCCCAGGATGGAAGGGACGCAGAGACTCGCCTGCCCTGACCACAGAGCCAATCTCCAGTCAACATGGCCGAGCCTAAATCCATCCCCAGCGAGCCCATGCCACTGGACATGGAGAACCGAGACCCCAACAACATGAACGACCACGTCAGAGTGAGTATGGCGGCACCCAGCGGTTATCTGACCGTCTCGGGGGATGTTCTGGTTGGGTGAGGGCCCTTGTTCCAAGTGTATCTAAAGCCAAAACTTATTTGAGTGTGGAAGGATTAGAACCCCTGTGAGGTAGTTGTTGCTGTGTCCCCACGGGGGAGATTCTTCCTCTGTATTTCACCCGGTGACCCCCCCGGCTACTGTACACCTGTGCTAGTGACAACTGGGATTCCCCTTCACTTGGGAGAGATTTCTTCTCATTTCCTGTTGTATCTAGAGGACAGGAAATGCAGGGGAATCTCCCCAATGGCCCCTGTGTGTGTTGTAGTCACCGCTCCAAGCTCGCCCCCGGCATGGACTACAATCTCATTTATACTGAGATTGTAGTCCATCCCAGGAGAGAGCTTGGAGCGGTGACTACAACACACACAGGGACCATGGGGAACAGACGTAGCCCCCCTCCCCCTCCAGAAGGAAGGACAGTGTCAGAGATGATTGGAGGATCTACAGCCGAGTGATACACAAATCAGATACATTGTTGTTCGGAGTTCGGGGACTTGAATTGATTTTTAAGATTTAACTCCGGAGTTTAAGTGTCACTTTAATGAGAATGAGATGGTGGGATTGGGAACACTCCAAGGTGGAAGGATCACCCACAACTCCTCGGAGGACAGGGATTATGTTCAGAAGATCCTACCTTGTAGACCGGACACACAACTCCGCCGAGCTCGCCACAAAATGTATTGAAAAGAAACAAATGTTTTCCCCATTAAGGTCCCCACACACCTTACGATAATCGTACGATAATGGAGGGAAATCCCGCGATCGTTATGATTAAGGCCGTGACACACTGCACGCGAAGCAGCGCGGAGCGGTGGCGCGCTGCCTTTGCGAGCAGTGTGTCATGTCACTTTCTTCTCGGCACCTCAGCTTGCGAGAGCTCGCAGAGCTGAGCGTGCCGAGATGAACAATTTCAACTTCAGCCAATCGGCTCGCGCGTATAAACCGGCGCGACGGGATGCGACGTCTGCCCGGTTGTTACAGACGAGCCGATTGGCTGAAGGAGCAGTCAATCATCTGACTGCACTCAGCTCACACACTGCACGCGAAGCTCCGCGCCGGAGAGCTTTGCTTCGCTCTGCACGGCTTCGCGTGCAGTGTGTCACGGCCCTTACCGTAAGGTGTGTGGAAGCCGTGCGACCTCTACTACTGTAAGGTCGCACGACTTTGAACTTACGGACATGTTCGAAAACCCGCCGAGCATCGTACGATGTTCGGCGGGGTTGTGGCATGTCCGTACGATAACAGCCAAACGGGCCGGTGTGCGCAAGCGCACACTGCCCGTTCGGCATTGCGGTCATCGGAAGCCCGCCCCTCAGGGGGCGTGGCTTGAGATCATCGCAAGTACGATCTGCCTATGCAAGATGGGCAGATCGTACGTTTTGTTAAGTACCTTCCAACCAAAAGTCTTGCGATGGTTGTAAGGTGTGTGCCCAGCCTTAGAGACTTCCAAATATTGTTTCCTTCTAACACACCATGTGACGTGCTCAGCCGACTTCTATTTATCTTCAATTATTTCTAGGACTCGTATCGCCTTCATTCCTCAACCTGCCCCAGAGACTGAAGTCTGGACTAATAATTGTCTGTTTATGATTCTAAATTCCACAATTATTTCTTTTTCATCTATTTGTAGGAAATCCTCTTTATTGACAAATGGAATGTTACATTGTATCAGGTTTGGTTTTCATTGGCTTAGGAAAGAGGGAGAAGC